AAGTGCCTTTTCCAATGCATCTTGAAATATTCTTTTCTTTAATTATATTGCCTATAGTCATGAATATTTGACGTGAAAGGGAAATATTTATAGTGCGCTTTGAAACCAAATCCGTGTTCAGGAGCTTGAGTTGAATAAATCTGATCAAAAACAACAGCTGCTGCCTTATCAGAAATGATCAGTGTTGTGCTGACTTTTATTTCCCACAGCATTAAATCAGCAACAAGAGGCTGAGGCGTGTAACTCCTCTTAATTAGCATCAGATCCTCCGACAACATGCAATATACATCACATTATGAACCTCGTCTAGCTGCCACACATACACCGGGTCTCAGTGGCATTATTCTTTGACTAATGATGTGGCATTAATTGAAATTACTGTCCCTGAAGATCAGTGTCAGTATCTATCTCCAAGTGTTGGGCTGGAGCCCATACTGACATCTTAGCACAATTCACTCAAAGGTACCATTTTGGGAGATTTCCATATCTTTTGTTTTTTTTTATCATAAAGCAAGTGTGGGTGATTATATACATATAACAAATATGTAAATATGGATGTTTCATTTTGTTTAAGTAAAAACAATATTATAGTGTGCTAGTGTCACTTTGAAATGTTTAAATAATACATTTTTGTGAGGTTAAAAATATTGGATAGATGAATCGGTGAATAGAAAGATAGATGAATAGATAGATAGATCGATCGATCGATCGATAGATAGATAGATATTAGTAATGTTTCAGTGCCATGACAGTCATTTTCTCTGGGTTTAGTCTTATGTAATGAGATACCGGCAGTGTTTCTTCTGACATAATGAATATTTAACTAAAATTAACATACAGGGACATATTGCATCACATTTTCTGCTAATCCTCCTCCAATTCCCATTACTTCCCCGTGGAACGTGGTATTGTGGTGTCTGAAACATGCATTAATAAGCTACGCTGGCACTGGATGTCAAGTTGAGATCAACTTCCTCTGCACTGTGATACAATATGAGAAGATGAATAGAGCTCTTCAGCTTTGTAGATCGCACAAAGGATTTCACTTTGTTCATCTCCTCCCCCAGTTTCTCCTCCAGTTTTCTTAACAAACGTTCTTCACTAATAACCGCATGTAAAACAAGTTGCATTACCAACATGCACTCAAGTAAACAGTACAGTTTCCAGTTTTCATGCCCTCTCACACACTCACAGCTCAAGTTTGATTCATTCACTACAGTCTCTTAAAAATCCACATGGGAGAAACTCAGATTAGATGAAAATGTTCAAATACTCACCTGACTTTTGCCCTCAGTTATTTCCCCACGCTCAGAGATATAAGCAGTAGGGAGATAACTTTTTCCCCTGTATTTATTCTTAGCCAACCAATAAGCAGCCTTTAAAAGACAAGTCTGCAGACATTAGTCAGGGTTTAATCAAGTTAATGCATTCTCCTGCATTTTGGGCTGAAATAAGTGGTTCAGGTGTTTTTATATTTACAGATAATTCTCCTAATTAGATGTTAAAACTGATCGTTAATCAAAGATAGTGCAGTGCTCTTTCTTAACAAAGATATAAATAAATCGTTGCGTTTAAAAGGGTTTTTGTTCAAACATTTTAATACAATGTGATCACTACAGATTTTAAAAAATCTCAATAAAGCCAGGCTAGCGATTAGAGTCATCCTATTGTTTTCATATTTCAATATGTAAACTAAATGCTGCAGATGATTTCTCACTTCACAAAATGCAATTTATCACCACTCACTCACCATTCTAGTGTTTCCCATCTGTGTAGAATAGCTACATTAAAATTTAAGAATATCTTGATGGTCTTTTAAAAACACCCCGAAGGATTTTTTCCCCTGATTGCTTCAAACTGACCTAGTTAAAGCAGTAAATTTTTATATGCAGGGATATCGCTTCACAATACACTGACTGTTGTGGTGCCAAGGCGCAAGGCATTCGGCCAAAACAATAATAATGAACTGCCTTACGGCAAATATTATTTTACCACCCAAAATGCTTAAAACATCCTCAGGGTTCGTGATAAGACTTTATATGTGCATTGCCATTATATGTACATTTATTGGGGGAACAGCAAATCTCTCTACTCGTGGTTTGATGCTGTTGTTGTGGATTAAACAAGATAAAAGGTTTGTCCAAGAGGAAGTAGGTTGTTAATGATGGGACAGAAATGTGTTCTGGGCATCAAGGCTCAAAAACAGAAACTCTCCATACACTTACTCAGACTTCATTACTGAGTGAGCTCTGAAAGAACAAAAGTCTTATACTGAAACAAAATAATGCTGCATTACCATCAGTCAGTTTTTACTCTTCATACTCATATTGCGTTCTAATCAGTGTGGTAGAAGAGCTGAGGTTGTAAGGAAGGAGGGTCAACACATATACCTGAGAGCTCATGGGATGATT